GATTGGAGTTTTAGTTGGTAGGGTTATATGCTGATAGTTTCTAATTGTTAACCTATAGCTTAAGTCTGATTACTGTACTTATAATCAATAATAATAGTAAAAACAGAAACCCGGTCCTTGAATTCTATAAATCTGGGTCTAAAATACAGATAAATTGGAGAGCTTTGCATACTTTTTAAAAGATCTTTCACTTTTGTGAACACTCCAGGAATAGCAGGGCTTGCTACCCCAGTGAAGGTTGACCGAATCATTTACACAAAATAGGCTCACAGATAGTTTATTGGTCTGCAGAGTAAGATGACTGGAGGTTGGCCATGATAGTGCATGTACAGAAAAATCTACAGGGAAATATAAAAGCTGGATAAATATCCAAGATACAGGGCATGTGGACCATGGATTGGCAGCAGGCAGTACTAAAGTACAGAAGTCGAAAACACAGTTTCAGTCTGTATTCAGGGATACATTTAGAAGGAGAAATTCACATTCCATAGAGAGGATCCTAAAAGAAGTAGTTTAGAGACGTGTCAATGTGAGAAAAGACACCACAGCCAAACAAGATAGCATGTATACAATGAGGTGCTCAAATGCTAATACTTCCCCACTTAACCCACGAAAGAATGTGAGAGACACCTCTCGGGCATCCACTGTTAAAAGCTAAGGATCTTCGGTCCCTGCCGTCTGTAGATACCAGTCATCACTTTCATGAATTGTCTGTACAGGACCTGGTATGTGGCCCTCCCTGATCCAAGTCCTGCCATTGAACTGATAAGAGAAAGTGTTAATTTCTGAATGTGACCTCCGGACCAGAGCTTGCACTGCTGAAATATCCATGGCTTGCTGGTTTACGAGAGGAAGGTCAGGCATATGATTGCTGATGCAGTGAAACATTTAAAGGTATCCTGCTGGAACAGCAGTATCTCCTTTTAATGGAGGAGGATATTCCACTGTTTTGATATCAGACAGCCATGTCAGCACCTAGTGAGGAAATTTTGGAACAGAAACATTATTTAGATATTAGTACATAATTTATAGATTGTACAAACACCATACCAACCAAAGTGCCCTCAAAATGATTTTTTCTTCCTTTACCTACCACTAAGTCTAGGTGGGGACCTGACATCTGCAGCAAGCATGTTGGGAACCTGCTGACTGATATGCTGTGGTGACTGTGAAGACTGCTGTGGGCATTGTCTGGGGCTTCAGGTTCTGGAGGATCTGGGTCTCCAAGATAGCCACTAGCCTTTCCATGGAGGCAGACAACAACCACTCACTTGTCAGAGCCACAGAGGAGGCAGAAGATGGACAGACTCCTCCATCTTTTGCTCAAGTCTCATGAGGGCCTCCAGTTTGCCTGTCTTATGTGTGTCTCTGCAGGTTTAGCATGTCAGTTATTGTTCAATACGAGGACATATCCTCTGCCTGAGGCTTAGCATGTACTTGGTCCCCAGCAGTCCTCTGAATGTCCAAAACTTAGGGTATTTCTTGATCCACTAGCTGCAGACAGATGTCGGTGTTGGGTTCACCAGATGGTATTATGCCCCCCCCCCCCCACACCCCAAGTCTAATCTAGCTGCGTAACACACCTGAGATGAATGTTTCTTTGGTGGAGGATGCAGCTGAATGTCTTGCCAGTGCTTTCTATGAGGTTCACAGCTATTCTCAGAGGTGGTGGTGCTGCCAGGTAGCTGCTATGCCTTATTCTGTTTCATTTTGTGTTATGACTGCTCTTGCAAGTGGAAGAAAAGAAAGAAAAATAAATAGCATAGCTGTACAATCATTGTGTATTGGAATGTAAGAGCCTAGCTGTACATTACTGTTCTTCACTGGTTTTTCCATCGAAACAAGACTGGTGTTGGTTCTCACTTGTCAGCGGAATTGCCTCATTGTAGTTGGTGAGGATACAAAGATCTGACAATCCTGCACCAATCCTGACACTCTCATTGCTCTTGCATGTGGGTTTATCCTACACTGAGATAAAGAAAATGATTGAATGTGATTGGAATGTATGTGTGAGGTCTTAAGTGTGTAGAGCCTTACCAATTGTGTGGATCCTCCTAAATACACAAGTTGGAAGTGTTAGGAGCTCACCAGCATCAGGTGGGTGTGAGCCCTTCAGAGCACATCCTGCATGAGGTGGTGAGCTGAACATGTTTGTGTGACATTGGTGTACAATACCAGAGTTAGAATATGTGATGGCCTGAGTAGTCTGAGGTCATTGTGAGAAGGTGGTGACACTTAGAGTTGAGGACAATGTTCATTCTCAGCTTCTTTCTTTTTGCATATGGTACTGATCTCCCATGTGAGCTCACCCCAGGCTGCCTAAGACAGACTTCTTTCGCCCATCACAGGGAAGAAGATTCCCAGTCTGACCCAGGTGGCCTGGAACATGATGCTTAATGAGGGATGATTAATGTGTGCAGTCATCTTTTGTCAAATTGGAGACATCTCTGGGAGTGGGAAGGGTACGCAAGCACTGTGGGACTGATGACTATAGGCTGTTCTGTTGCATTGAGAGAAGAGGTGCCTAGGTGACTTTCAAATATGGTACCAGAACCTTCAAAATGTCCCAATAGAGATGAAGATTTGGGCCCATTACTTACATGTGATTCTCTATTTAACTCAATCATTTGCATACAAAATCATCTGAAACGCAATTGGTTACATAAGCAAACCCATTATGGACCATGGCAAAATTGATGGCACCAAGAAACTATTGCCACATTTTAACTCCAAAATGAAAATTCCTGAACAGTTAGGTTGGATGTGAGACCCTACCCCCGCAGCACCTAAATAGAATTCACATGTGTAAATGCTTTTCAGAAATAATTTATATACTATCTTTGGTTGTCTTAGAATATTCTTGTGTGGCCAAAGACAATCTACAGAGCTTGCTGTGATAATGTAAAAACCATAAGCATTTATTTACAAACATCATGTTAACTTGCTGTCAGGGAGGAAGAGCACGATCATGTCATATGATACTCCATCACTTCCTGTGATGATACATACTGTGTCTCATCTGCACATTTCATCGTAATTCCTTGTGCTACGTGACCCCTCAAGTCACTGTCTGTACTGATTAACATTAGAAGTATAGAATCCCTACAGTATGGCAGCAGGCCTTTCGGCCGATCCAATCTATACCAAACCTCCGAAGAACCTCCTACCCAGACCGACCACCCTACCCTATCCCTGTAATCCTGCATTTTCCCATGGCTAATCCGTCTAGCTTGTATATCCTTGGGGACTATGAGCAATTTAGCATGGCCAATCCACTTAACTTGCACATCTTTGGAAAGTGGGAGAAAACCAGAGCACCCGGAGGAAACACATGCAGACACGGGGAGAATGTGCAAACTCCAAATAGACAGTCACCCAAACCTGGGTCCCTGACGCTTGTGAGGTGGCAGTGCTAACCATTCAGCTACCATGCCACCGCATTGCACATCTCATTATATTCCAAACCCTCCCAAGTAATTACCACTGTAACAGTTTTACTAGTCTACTTTCCATGTCTTCAGCTCTTATAAATTTGAGGAAAATGAGATTTTGAGTCCTCCATATGTACTTTTGGATTCTGTTGGACAGAATGAGAGTTGTCTGATGAATCTAGTTCATCATTCAGGCTGTCATTTGTGATTGTTACTGAACATGTATCTCTGGTCTGTCAAACTCTGATTGTTTCAACAGTGTAAAAGGTTGTTCTGATATTGGATCCATGGGCGTGGTGTTAGTCTAAGCACTTGATCATGATAAGTTTGATCATAAATTCACATTGGATCAAGGTTTTATACATTTCTGTGATGGTTGTTGTACTGTTACCTTTTAATTAGAACCATTCTTTTCTTTCTCCCTCACTTTGTTCATGCCCTCTGTTTGTCGAAGCAGCCTGAGTGCATGTGGGAGAATAGAAAGTTGAGTTTTCAGCCTCCTTCCCATTTGGAGCAAACTATTTTGAAGTCGTATTACACAGTGATCAAAGCATGTAAAATGAATATCATTGTTCTCTGATAAAAAAAACGCCTTTGCCATTTGCAGTCTGGTTTCTGCTCCACTGTCTTGGTGAACTGGCAATCTGGTGAAAATCAATATGATACTGTGAATTCCTTAAATCGCTTGTCAGCAAGTTGCTGAAATGATAATCATTAGGATTGCTTGTGTATGGATTTTTCTTTCAGTAATGTAATCTCCTGCCTGCAACAAGTGACCTTACAGTCACCCTATAGGGGGATTTTTTGATTATGGATTGCAGAAAGAAGGGCCTGCAGGAATGAATGGAAGCTATGGTGATGGGGAGGCTCACAGTGTTCCTTAATTAGCCACCTAAGTGCCGCAAATGAAGTCAGGATGGGAAGGTCAACCATTAGCCTTCCTACCTGGAATTATAAATTTAGTGGAAGCAGGATGATAATGGGCATTAGGTAAGTCACCACTTAATTCAATATCCTTCCCACTGTAAGTTGTACCAGGATTTTTTTTTTCTAATTGCAGCATATAATTTGTAACATCTTAATTCAATATATTGGATTCAGGTAAGGAACACACACAGCAGGTTCATGTCGGCACTAGAAGAAATGTGTCTTTATATGGCAGGTATCTCTGAATATCTGAAAATGTTTCTCCAATAATTAATTACTTTTGAAGTGAAGTCACTTTTCTTCTTTGAGTAAATGGGAATGATACCTTGTCGGTAAAGTACAGCCAAATAGGTTGCTTTCAACTGGCATTGCAATGTTACCCAGAATACTGGGAGAACTCTGCCATTAGTATTTCCATAGCTGTCAGAAACAACAGATCAATGTAATGAATGCACACTTTCATCTTAGACTTAATAGTTTTTATAATTCTATTTCTTAATTTGCTTTCTAAAAATCCAGTTGAATAGTTAAATGAGTCACTTGCAATTTCAAACTGAATAGCTTCTAGTTTATGTGAATTAATGTTAGAAACTATTATAACTCAGCTTCTGTATTCTTAATTTTTAATGTGACCTTTTTCAGTTCGTTGTCACATCCTTTTGGCTTTTGTTCACGTATGACAGAGCATTGGTATACCCTGAAGATCTTGATGCATTCATTCCTCTGTGGCTGAACCATGCAGTGGTAAGTGAAAGTAATTAGACGTGGACAGACTTTTGTTAAAGTCCCTCAGGCAAGATAGAAAAATTTAAAGCATATGGGATAGGTGGTACTATACTGTGTTGGATCAATAACTGACTAATAGACAGAAATCAATAGGAATAAATGGGTTATTCTGTCATTGCCAGACTGCGACTAAGGATCGGTACTTGGGACCCAGCTGTTCACAATATATAGATCAATGATTTGGAGTTGGGAGTCAAATGTAATATTTTCAAATTTGAAGATGATATGAAGTTAAGTGGGAATGTGTGTTGTGAGGAAGATGTAAAATGGCTTCGGGATTTGGACAGGCTTCATGAATGGGTAAGAATGTGGTAGATGAAATATACAGTAATATGGAAAAATGTGAAGTTATCTACTTTAGTATGAAAAACAGATGTGCAGAGTATTTCTTAAATGGTAAGAGGTTAGAAAGTGTAAATATACAAAGAGACCTAGATATCCTTGTTGATTAGTCATTGAAAACTAACATGCAATTACAGAAAGGAATTAGGAAGGCTAATGGAATCTTTGCAAGAGGATGTGCGTACAGGAGTAGTGAAGCCATCCCTCCATTGTATAGGAGCTTGATTAGAGTCATCCGGTGTAATGTGTGCAGTTTTGATCTCCTTACTTGAGGAAAGATATTATTGCCATAAAGGCAGTGCAACAAAGCTTCATCAGATTTGTTTTCAAAATGGTGGGACTGCCTTATAAAGAGAGATTAGGCAAACTGGGCCTGTAATCTCTATAGTTTTGAGGAATGATCTCATTGAAGCCAAGAAAATACATAAAATGATAGACATGGTGGATGCATGTAAAATGTTTCCCCTGACTATGGAGGCTAGAACCAGGGGCACAATTTAAAAATAAGGGGAATGCCACTAGGGTCCGACATGAGAAGAATGTTTCTTCAACCAGAGGGCTGTGAACCTTTACAATTCTCTACCACAGAGAGTTCATAGAATTCCTACAGTATGGAAGCAAGCCATTGAGCCCATCAAGTCCACACCTCTGACAGCATCCCACTCAGACCCATCCCCCCCATCCTATCCTCATAACCCCACATTTCCCATGGGTAATCCACCTAATCCACACATCCCTGGACACTATGGGCAATTTAGTACAGCCAATATACCTAACCTCCACATCTTTGGACTGTGGAAGGACACTGGACCACTGGGAGGAAACCCACGCAGACATGGGAAGAATGTGCAAACTCCACACAGAGCACTGCCCAAGGGTGGACCTGAGCCTGGGTCCCTAGCACTGTAAGGTAGCAGGACTAACCAATGAGCCACCGTGCCGCCATTGTGTAGGTTCAGTCTTTGAGATAATTTAAAGCAGAGATTGGTAGATTTCTAATTACCAGTGGCCTAGAGGAATGTGGGTTGGGGTGGGTAAAGGCATTGAAGTGTTTGATTGGTCATGATCATAATGAATTGTGAGGCAGGTACGATGAGCTGAATACCTATTCCTGTTCCAATGTCACTAACGAAGGTGCGATGCAAAGGTAACCGACTGTCTTCATTAGAGATCATAAGTATTTAAATATAGGTTTCCCAAAAAACAATTAATGAAACATTAAACATTTATTTCTTTTATCTATAGACAAGCAATGGGTTTTAGTAATCCACATGTTTAAATCTTAAATGATAGAAACAGGAAATACTCAGCAGGTCAACCAGCAGTTGCAGAGAAACAGAGTTAGGCAGGTCAGATTTTTGCAAAGAGGACAAGAACTATGCACATTTTATACTCCTGACTCTGCAAACACATCTCCATTAAGGAGTTCCCTGTCTGCCTCTTCCCACCTGGGGAGATGAGTATAGGCATTAGTCCGGAAATTGCCAGCTCTGGAGTCAGGGCTAAAGCAGAAATGGAGCTGAACAAGGCCAGCAAGCTAGAGGTCCACTTCTGTTTACTGGGACAAGAGCTCAGTTGTAATCATGGCTGCCAAGGCCTCATGTCCTGAGCACCCTCACTTCCTCTCACACCCACATGCACACCTATGACCCCTTATATCCCTTATTCCCCTTCCATGCCACCAGCCATCCTCCTCACCTAATGTCCACTGTATACAGAACAAGGCCTAATTCTCTTTTCTAGGACTCCCCTTGAGAGTCACTTATGGTTTTCAGTGGTTACTTTTACACTCTCACTAACTTCTGCATTAGACACTACAGTCGCATAGCAATATTATTTTCTATAGTTATGTTGTTGTATGAGATATTTGGACTGACAAAGAAGTAGAATAAGACCACATCAGTATTCTTAATAATTAACAGCCATTTAAATTTAAAGCTACAACACTGCGAAAGCATTAATTTCATAGGCACCAGATTTAAATTGGCATAAATAATAAGTATAAGTTAGCAGCAGTTCTTTTGCCCAAAATCATTGGCACACATGTCTACACACACATAAAGCTAACAGCTTAGACATTCATTGCAGATTGGTGAGGTCACAGCTAATGTGTTTTCATTGCATATTTCAAAGTTGAAACATTTTGACTAGGTAGTTACTACTTTTTTTAAAATTGCACCTCAGATCTCAATCTCAGATTTAAATTTAGCAATTGACACAGTGTGCATTAAAATACCATGTACCATATTTTTCCCATATAGTAGTTCCAGAAACATTAAGCTAGGCATGTCATATTCATTTGCAAATAACTCATTACCTTAGTGATTTAAAGCTTTCCTAACACCTAGTTAATTAAGTGTTCCTTTGTTAACAGATTGAAACTGTTCTCTCTTCTTTGTAATCTCTCTCTTTCCCCCACCCCCACCAACTTCCCTTGCTGCCTACTATTCTATCTTGTACCCCTTGGTCAATCTTTCTGATCCTCCTAGCTGCCTCGCTCTTCCCCCAGCTACCTCTCTCTTCCGTCATACTTATCATCACCCCTCTTTCTATTCCATGCCTGTTGCTGTCTTTCACTCTGTGTCTATCTCTTTCTATTTCTTTACCATCCTTGTTGCTGCCTCTCTCTCTCTCTCTCTCCCTCTCTCTTTCTCTATCACCTGCCTTAGGCTTTCCAATCTTCCATTGCCTACTGGCAACCTTGCAGCTTTCCTAACTCCCCTCAGCTCCCTTGTCTATCTACAGCTTTCCTGTCTCCCACCAGGCCCTCTGAGACCATTTGTCTTTCCGTGATCTAAATGCAGGAAACCTTGCATCCTCCCTGCCTTTCCAGCCACTTTGGTCCCCCTGTCTCCGCGCAATCTCACAGTGCCTTGCAGCACCCTTACATGACCCAGTCGCTTTGAGGCCTCCCTGCCTCCCACTTCTTCCTCCCAATCTCGATGGCCATAAAGCCACATTAGTAAAATGATGGCTTCCAACACCCGCACCCCCATCCCACCACCCCCCACTCTTGGCCTTAATAAAATGGCTGCAGAGTCTTAGCTCTCAGTGACTGAATGGCTGCTGCTCCTCCAATCACAGGTTGTTTGGTGTGATGGACTCCCTAGTGAGCATATTAGCAGCAAGCATGGGAAGGAACCAACCTGGAATGGGACGAGTGACTCCTCACCATTACCTTCCATTATATCGCGTGGCTAACATTTCTCTGGTGGCCACTGTGAATGAATTTTCCAGGATGATTGGGTATTTTGGAATGGATTCACCTGCCACACCATATATTTTGAGCATTCATTCATGATCAATGAATCTTGATAAGTCTGGCAAATCTTTGAAATGATTATGAAACTGACAATACAAAATCTGAGGAAAATGCTCAACTTACAACTTGATAACAATATTAATCAACCACAGATACTCATACTATCAATTACAAAAAATGGGGACATCTAGGAAAGCAGACATCTGGCCATCTGTTCTAACTGCTCCTGTGGTTACAATCCCAAGAAGGTCTCATTATCACTGCATAGCTAAACTCCAAGAATGCCTTTAATGCTTGGCTCGGCTGATAATACTGACACTGCTTCGAAGCAGATGGAAGGTTTATTTAACTAAAAGCATTATTACGGTGTAATTATCTGATTTTCCTTTGATATGGCCTTTCAATGACTTTATTTTCCCGAAATTAAGAGCTGTGATGTGGATTAATGTTTTGTGGCATTGATACTATTAATGGTTTTGATTGTTTGACTACTTCATTAGAAGATTAAGGCAGCAGTGTATTTGAAAAGGAAAGTTGAAAAGCTGTTTTACCTTTGGTTTCCAATCTGGGCCCAGGAATCCTCCATGTTCATGATTCTCTGAGATGAATGTCTTCTACTAACAGAATGGCCTGTCTGCAGTAAAATTTTGGGATGTGGGTTTGAAATGTCCATCTCCACAATGGGCATGAGCAAACATGCTACATAAGATTTGCTTCCTGAGCTTTATCTTGCAAAAATTTCTAGAAATAAAATTAGGGACATGAGTGCTATCTTCAAAGGCATCCTAACTCAACCAAAATCTGGGCCAACATTTCAGGTCAATGACTTTTCACCAGAAGTGGGAAAAGTTTGAAATGTAATTAATTTTAATCAAATCAGAGGTGGGAGGCTGTGAAAAAGGAGCAAAGGGAAAGCCTGTGAAACAGCTGAAAACTGGAGACAAAATGACAAAATTGTTGATGCACTAAGGCCAAAGGTAACGATAATGGGACAAGTGAAGAAGCAACAGATGCGTTTATTTGGGGCATGGAATACAGAAAGATGAACATCTGCTCCTAAGAGAAGACACAAGAGAAAGTGCAGAGAGGAAAACAGAAACCAGTAATGAGAGAAGTGGCAAAATGGGGCAGAGGTTGCATTTTGAAATTGTTAAACTCGGTATTGAGTTTAGAACTCTGTCAAATATTTAACTGAAAGATTGGTAGTTTTTCAAGTTTCAGGTGATCAAGAATAGAGAGCTTGTGAGCAAGATGAAGACAACTGGAGGCTTAGGGTCATGTTTACAGACAGAATGGAAGTGTCCTGCAAAGCAGTGATCCAACATGTGTTTGGTTTCCTCAAGCGGAGATGATG